TGGCTTCCACTGTGTTACAGCTCTTATCCCCAAAGGGAAAATCCACCCGAAAACAGAACCGCTACTCCAACGATTTTGAACCAGGAAGACGAGATCTACAAACGCTGCCGACTGTCACCTGAAGCAAGAAATCAGGACATCAAGACTCACTGATACGGACGAAACACAACTCCCTAACACGAGACCAGCAGAATCACCATCTGCAAAGGTTTCAAACAGCACAGGGATAATAACTCAAGCTGGAGGGTCAGCTGTGGATGGGGTTGAGGTTTTTGAGCCTGGATCTGGGTCTGGAGGGTCAGCTGGAGCAGTGGCAGCGGCCTGCAGACCAGAGTGGGGCTCTCCTAGCAGTCCCCCCCCCCCCCCTTGCTGTTAGCTGGGAGACACCAGAGAAGGAAAAGAAGTGCAGGCATACACTAAGAGAACTGGTCGACCGAAAAATGCGTCTGTGTGTTGACAACAAAGCTGAGTATGCAGATCTGATTTCTGTCTGAATGGACCGTATTCCAACTACTTTCCCCCGTTTACACTTACGTAAGAAACGTCTCACGCGCATCACAGCAACGTGTAAGAAAAGCATCTGAATCGGATCATTAAAGACGCTGATGTGACACTTTTTGGAGTTTGTTTCATTGCCATAATTTCAATGTGAGCTGTTACATGCAAACCAATATGAAGTGTATTAATTATATCTATATATTCTTTGTTTGTCCGGTTATCAAATGAAAGCTGTGATGGTATTTATTCTTAATATAGAGATATTTATCAATCGGGGTCTTAGGTGGATTTTCTTTGATACTTTGGCATGAAATGACCTGTTGACTTTTGACTGGTGCAAATTTCTCACAAAACAAGAAAACTACCAGGAACATTTCCCAAATGTCCTCCAAACTGATGTGATTAGTTTCCTTAAAACCATGAACTGTCATTAATAATGAAATCATAGGACTACGCTGATGCTCAATCCTTCCTGTTGTTTGATTTATTATTGATGTGTCTTACACAGCCAGCTGAAATGAAACACTGGTGCTGCTGAAGCCTCCGAAAAGTATAGGCTCCATCAGCTGATTCTAAAGAGCGCTGGTGTCTCTCGGGCCTGTGAAGGGCCCGTCTCGGGCTTTTTCCTCCTGCAAGTAAATGGAGAGACTGGACAGTGTGCCCGGTGTTATCAATGAAGCCAGCCTCTTGGCTCTCCAAAAAGTGCAGCTTGGAAGGCGTCCACGGCAGGGCATTAGGCCTGGAGGTTTGTGTCGTTTGTAATTTATAACACTGAGGGAAATGGGCAAGAGGACAATATGGGGAGAAGTGGGAGAGAGGGAATGTGGGAGGAGGGGGATGGGACTGCTCGCTGCACAAGCAAGTGGCTCTGCTTCCCCGAGTGTGCTGCACAGAGCCTGCTTACTAGGCTGACCAAGCTGGAGGGCTTTCTCTCCGAGGCACAGCCTGAAAGGGCCTTAGTTTTCCTTCTGCTAGTCAAAGTAAGTAGAAACTATATAGATATAGAGCTGTGGACGCAGACATATAAGTGCAAATGCAGAGAAAGCTGTCTGTGGGAAGAGGAGAATGCTTGGTTTGAAGAATAAATGAAATATCGACGGCTCGACACTGTACAAGACACAGTGTTTGATAGCAGCCGGCGGCAGCTTTAGAGAAGCCAGTAAATCAAAATGGATGACTTTTAATGAAGTATCACTCCCTCCTTGTCTCACTATCGCACTGAACCTCTGCAGCTCAGTGACTTCACCGACGGGACGGACTGTCACTGTGAGGAACCTGATATTCAGAGAGAGCTTTACAACACAGTGATCATCATCATCATTCTTCTCCTCCTGCTAATCGTCATACAGCGACACTAATAGCAGCAATTTCCCTTCATTTCATAAGAATGACATAACGCACACATTACTATGATAATATCTTAACGACATAATGGCAGTCAAAACAATATGTCCATGACTTTCTCTTCTCACCAGACACAAAGAAGAAGAAGTTTTTACTGAAGACAGTTTCAAAGATTTACAAAAAAAGAAAATCTGAATTCACTTTTATTTTATTTAGCGAGACAAGATCTGCCGCTGAATGCAACACGAGCGTCTGGAAGTACTTATCGTGATGACTTCACAGATTATGAAGGGATTTTTACTTCTGGCAGAGAGTTTTTGATGCTGACTTCATCGCATTCTTAATTGTATTTCCCGTACGTGTTGAGAGATCTGCCATAAACTTCATGATTGCCTCGGACCATTCGATCAGCCCTGTGGACATCGACAAGGGTCTCACGAAGCCTGAGGCCACCAGACCGAGGAACAGACCTGTAACGTGATCAATGCAGACAACTCATAGACACTCATAGCATTAACCTGTTCCTTTACTTCTTAGTCTGCCGTTATGGTAATAGTCAATTATAAAGTCTGAATAATCTGTTTACGCCTCGGTGCAGTGTGATCTCTGTTTTGGGAAACAGCTTATTAAAAGGAGCGTGGGGGTGGTTGCATTCTGGATTGTGTAATAACACATTTCCCTCAGTAGTGCACGGCTACAGATCCTTGGCAACATGTGCTGGAAGCAGACTCGGCTCCTTAACTACATCCACAACAAACAAAAAACGTACCAAAGCCTTTTCTTCAGGAATCATCACAGACGCTGTACGAGCAACGAAGCGAGTCGCTGAGGAGTCGAGCAGTGACGTTAGTGAGGAGAAAGCATGTGAAGCAACATGTGCAACTGTACTTTACACTGTTGTGATTTCTGTGGAGAGATTTGCTGACAAAAGAGACAGAAAGAGCAGCATACGTGTTGCAATAAGTACCTCGGATGAGTCCCTGTTCGGGTTTAATATGCTCTATTTCAGTAGACGCTCAGTAGCCCCTTGTACCCCCGCTGTAAGCAGTCTTTTGATACATCACTGTATCAGAGCCGAGGAGGCCAGATCACAAAGGTCTGGATCAAAAGTCTTCCATGAAAGAAATTCATACAATTTGCTCTTCAAAGTGAGGTTTCCTAAACATCTCCAATGCAACAGGGACCTTGTTGTGCTTCTTTTTGAAGACAGCAGCACTTTGTAGTTCCTATTGGACCTTTTGTTGGTCGCACATAGGTTTGCCAAGTGAGCAGAGATTGTGGGCGAAAGCATTTTCCAACTAATGCCAAATATAGCAAGCTGACACTGACACAGTTGTTTGTATGGTGAACAATAAAAGCGGGCGTTGTACAGGTAGCGTAGCGTCACGTAATGGTATAGCCGACCTGAAGACTCGACGTTTTCACCTCAGCGCACGCATTGCCGTACAGCAAACCAACGGTGCTTTTGTGTTAAACACGAAGTATATGGGGTGCCCGGGAGGAAATACATGTAAAGTAGAAGTCATAATGCCAGATCAGACAGGCTTTGGGAATGCACTGCGCCTGGATTCACACTCCTCAACTGTTGTACTAATCGGGTCTTAACAGCCTACTTCATGTTGTACCAGAATCTGAAGAATGTAGGCCAATTCAAAAGCCAGTCTTTAACACAACAAACTCAAGAGTTCAATCCAGACAATATCTAAATCACCAAGAGTCAACCACCAAGTCACTTCAATCGCGTTGCAATTGGAAACTCACCACATGGGACAAATGTGATGATTACATCACATGTGGAATGTCTATATTGAGCATACCCTACAAGGTGGCTATGTTCAACATAAGCATCCTGTATTAATGGATTGAACAACATTAACTACACATCAACTTTACATTCCTGCTACAATGCTTTAGAACCCACCACCAGCTCCCATTCAACTCAACTTGGATCTCGCTTGACAAAAATCCATCAGAGTAAACATCTCATCACCTAAATTATTTGTCATAGTTCTGTTGTTGTGGGCCTGCTGACAGTTGTTTGGGTTAGTTTTGGTTGTGCACTCAAGGACACCAGATGCTACGTACCCAACATCAGACAGCAGACAGAGTTAGTGAGATCTTCCCTGATGGTGTAAATCAAAAGGAGTTTTGGAAAGAGATGAATGACTTACGTTTGACAGGTGACTGGAATAAAAGGCTCTAACTGAATCCTAACAGCGCTGCATGTCTGCTGGATGTATAAAGATGTTTGCTAACACGCTGTGACACAAAGTAAAGACACTTTAACTGTGATGGATCGCCAACAGTTCTTCCAGAAGGGTTTTGAGTCTCTGCAAAAAACACCATGCTTTGGGAAAAAAGAAGAAGAGTTGGCAGTCGTATGAAGTATTCATGATTTGTAGCATAATGGGCTAAACGATGCAAAAACAACAGGTGGTCCTTTAAATTGAAAGTCAAGAGAACAACAGAGGAAAAGTTACAACGCAACAGGTTTCTACAACAGCAGCTTTCGCCTCCTCTCTTAAAGTATTGCCAAACGGGTTGATTACAAAAAGTCAAACACAGGTGCTAATTATCTATATTGAATATGTATATTTTCATAAACTCACTATGGCTTAAAGGCAGCTCAGGTGACTGGACGAACGAACACAAATCGACAGTATTTATATGGACGACGATATAATGCTTATTTATATTGACGGCATGTGTTAATGTGATAACTACGCCGTTTGTAAAATTACATTCCACACAAGAAGAAAAGTCGACTACAAACGCCGCCTCCTGTGAGGCAAAGTACGGGGAAATGCAGACAACCTTTGATTGGAGGTAATTAGTTGAGCGGCTGGCAGGAGAAGCCTTGCTGAGTTCAAAGGGGTGTCCCTCATCAGGAAACATTAAGTGTTCTTACCAACACGATGCCATTTAATCCCAGCAGCATTAGCACCAAGGGTTACCAGGCAAACACACACCATTTCTGGACTTTCGCTACGCTATGCTACACGCTCCGCACACACATCCAGAAAGAATAACGGTGTTTGAAGCAAAACTTCTGTCGGCATTTCAACGAGGCCGACAGAGTAAAAAGAGTTTAAGACAAAGTACGGAGCATAGGGACCGTGAAGGCTGCTGAATCTGAATTAAGCATAGATTGGCCTATATTGCAGAAATCAGGGAACTAGTTCAAGACGTGCCAGGCCCCATGTAGGCTCCATTACACTGGGGACCTTACCCTCCAACAGTGGAGCATGTATACCCTGGGCTATAAGACACAGGCATAAAAACACGACTTCAACTGGTAGCTTAAAAGAGATAAGCAGGGAAACTACACCAATTTAGACACCACGTTTACTAGTTATGGATGAGAAGTACTGAGTTGTTTGTGTGTCTGTTGTTAGCAAAGCAGAGAGAGAGACAATTGGGGATAAAAGGTTTTTCTTGCCTCTGTTGGGTCAAGTTCCAGTTCCACCTCTGGACTCCCATATTCAAGTCAGGCAAGTGGCCTGCCTTCCCCAGGGGCAGAAAGCTCTCCAAACATCCAAACAGTAGATACCTTCATCCTCTCACAAGGCTGGTTACACTGCATGGGGGTGAGTGAGTGAGTGAATAGCACAAAGTCAGAAGGGCATCTAAATTCCTGCTTCGGACTCAACTGCTTGCTTTGGTCCCGAATGGCACACACTGACCCACTCATTAACCGGTAAACCTGCAGCTTGACAAGCAGCCCCCGGGTGACGGTAATTGTTGCAATCGCAGACGGAGAGCAATTAATGAAGGAGGTCAGAAGTTTCCAGACGGGTGTCTGCCTGAATTAAAGAGCTCCCGCATGAATCTCACTGTGACCCCTGACCTAGGCTCTGGGTCGGGCCGGGGTAACTCAGCACTTTATTTTCACCACCAAGCAAAGGTTCATCGTCACTTTTGAGATATTCGTATTTTAAACTTTAAATCAGTGTGATCTGTGTAGAAGCATCTCCGACAAATCTACAACAGCACAGAGAAACCAGCAGAGAGTTTACACCGACTGCTCCGACGCGGTCTCTAATAAGAGTTTCTTGTCTTTCGTTTTTTGTAACAGACTTCAGACGACTATGCAGCTCCGCAAGCGGCATCAAATTAATTAACAATGACTTACAATACAAAGCACTTTGAACTGCGTGTGCGCTGCGACCAGAGCCAGATTGACGGGAAACTTTGACCCCATAGCCCCCCCCCCCTACAACAGTTGCTTATGACTTCCATGAGAGGCTGACGGCGAATTCCCTTCTGGCACAGGGCCAGCCCCCGGACTGGACCTGTATGAACTGTGCTGCCAACATGATGCGAACATGGAAATAAAAAACTGCCTTTAGTAAACAGTAACAATGTAGATTTACAATGCAGGCTGTTATTCAACAATTGTCAGACTATTAAACGGATGTGCTGAAGAGCACACGTAAAAGGTTTGCTATCGTTACACAACAATAAGCTGCGTTACACCTGTAAACACATTGATTACATCGACAGAACAGAACCCCACATCTCTGCCCAAGCTCACTGTTTGTGCACAAAGCTGAAACACTAACAGCGTTACCTGTATTGACCCAACAGAAGTGTTATCAACGACTACATACTGCAGCCTCAAAGAGGGGATGAGAGCGGATGCAGACGGACCTGGATGCAGATTGAAGAGTGTCTCTAACTGATAGTGATAGTGGTCAGACTATAAGTCTACTTTCAGATATTATTCCACACTACATTACTTGCTCCACTTCCTTTAATAGTTCATTTAGTTTATCATTATTACTGTACCATGTATCGTGACAGCTCCTTTAAGAGTAATATTGATACTAGAATCAGAATATGTGTTCAAAACAAATGGCCAACACGTCGTAAAACTGTGCGCAGCACATTCTGCCTCCACAACCAGAGATCTCACTGCTTCAAATCACTATCGGAGCTAAAAAGTGTATTTGTGTGCGTCGTTGAATTCAATGTGACGTTGCTCTGTGACTTTTGATTTAAGCGGCTGGAGGTCTGCCAACGCTGCCGTTCCTTCTGTTCTTTCTTTTCCGTCCTAACACGCAGACTCACGGGTCAAGAACAGCCGTATCACATCAAAAGACCAACATGTCAGCCATCAGACGGGCACAGTCCAGTGTAAGAGGTGAGGCGAGAGATACTGCGAGGATCATATGTGGTGATAATGTACCACAACATGTCACAAGGCTCTCCTGTCTGAAAAAAGATCAACAAGGTCAAGGGAACTGTTGTTCCCTGCTGCTAGTGCGTGTCCGTAAATAGTCAACTGTGATGAAAACAAACCCCCCCTCCCCCAACTTGTTTATTATGCAATGCAAATTTGGCATGGAGAACTACACCTACTTTCTGGTAATGGAGCTCAATGATTTGCTCTGTTTTCCTCCCAATTAATCCTCTTAAAGTATTAAAGTATTGATGAATCAGTGTGCCCGTGGATCACCGGGTTACTCCTGTAGATGCAGACCAGCATCACATCTACACATACTGTGAGGAGCAACTACGTAGAGGGTGGGGCTGTGCAACACATCAGGTAAACCGTGGGTGAGGTAAACGTCGTTCTCAAACGCCATGCGCATACACATTTCTCACACGCACACACACACACACACACACAAACACATGGGGGGCTCGAGGGTGTTAGAGGCTGTTATTCATTATCCACACGACTGCATTCCAGGGCTGGACAAAAGGAGTTATCGCCACCATCATTCAGAGGCAAGCACAAGAGAGGTAGAGAGGGATTTAAGCAGGTTCTCAAACAAGATGCCCCCACCTGATAACCTTAGCACTGCCGTTGCACCATTCCCACATGTCCTAATGCGTTCACAAATCAGAGAGAGAGAGGGAGAGACAGAGAGAGAAGGAGGGGAAGCAAGAGGAGAGAGAGAGACCATGTGAACATTAACACTGAATGGAAGCGATGGAGAAAGATAGCGACACCTCCTCCTCCTCCTCCTCCTCCTCCTCCTCCTCCTCCTCCTCTGTACAGGAAGTGACCAGTGAGGCAGGTGCACCTCACTACTGATGTGGCTGCTTCAGTGCTTTGAGTCAGTCCAGATAACAAACGCACAAACAACCCTTTTTTCTTCTTCCTTCACTACCTGGAGTTTATTGTCAAATCAAGGGGACACACGTTCTCCTCCCCCCTTTTATTGCTGAAGATCAGGCTTTAGACATTTAAGATTCACTCACACACCTTGACCTGTTGATGGACAGAGCAGAACAGGCATTCAATAGTTCACCTGTTTGCCCTCCCAAATCCAACGGGTGGACAGGTGAGAGGCCAGCCAGCTTGTGCAATGACCTTTGACACTCGAGAGCCAAGAGAGATTAATTTGGCATCACAATAATATATAAAAAATAACGTCAACAAATGCACTCTATATCTAGTTGTCTCACCTTTTTTAAACTCCTCCAGCATTGCATCCAACTTGGTGTCATTGAACACAAAATGTAACGGGTGGCTGTAAAACTTTGTGATGGTTTTGAGAGGGGTGCAATCATCCGGGTCCACAAACGCCAGGTCCTTGACAAAAAGCAGATCCACTATGTTGGACCTCTCGCCCTCGAAGACCGGGATGCGCGTGTAGCCGCTCTTCATGATCTCCGACATGGTGTTAAAGTCGAGGGTGCCGTCCCCGGGGATCATGAAGCAATCTCTCAGCGGCGTCATCACGCCCTCCACGGTCTTAGTCCTGAGCTCCAGCGCGCCCTGGATGATGTTCAGCTCCTCCTTCACCAGGTCGTTGTACGGGTCCGTGACGCGCAGCATCTCCAGGAGCTTCTCCCGGTTGTACACGGTTCCTATCTCCTGTCCCAGGAGGTAGTCGAGCAGCTTGCTCACCGGGTAGGAGGCGGGGAAGGTGAGCAGCATGAAGAACTTGGTGAGGAATATGGTGTTGGCCCCGACGGCGAGGCCGTGTCTGGAGCAGATGGCCTGGGGCACGATCTCTCCAAAAATGACTATTCCAATGGTGGACATGACCACCGCGATCAGCCCCGAGCCGGCGATGTCATCCAGCAGGATGGTCAGCGTGGTGTTCACCAGCACGTTCCCGAGCAGAAGCGAGCAAAGCAAGTAATTCCCTTGGCTCCTGACCGGCTCGATTTTTTTGGCGTAAGTCTTCTCCTTCTCCGTGCCGCAGTTCTGGACTATCTGGAGCTCCATGGGGTCCAGAGCCATGAGCCCCAGGTTCAACCCGCTGAACATACCCGACAGGCAGAGCAACATGGAGATGAAGATGACCTGGAGCCAGAAGGGCAGCAGAAACTTTTTCTCCTCCACCACGATCACCATGGTGTCGTCCCCGTCGTGGTAGATCCAGGTGTTCTCCGTCCACGGGTCGTGCATCCCGCCCACGGCCGGCGTCGCGGTGGCGATGCATAGGTAGTACGATTTACTCCTCTCCGTCTTGCGCAGCGGTTTGACCTCGATCTCAACTATTCCGGTCGTCTTTCGACTCACGACGATGTTGGGCAATATAATTATATCCGAAGTCCTAATGCCGCAGGGATGCAAGCTGGACGAGTCCTCTTGGCTCTGGTTATCCCCGGAGGAGCTGTCAAGGCTCCCCACCGTCCGGCTCCGCTCGTGTTCCGTGAAAGAAATTTTGGACCAGGTCTCGTTGTTGATGTTCTTCCCGTACACCCTTAACTTCACCCGAGACCGCTCACTCACCCGCAGGTAGCCCCTATCCATGAAGGAAATGTCGTCCGTGTCCTCCAGTCGGAGCCCTATGATGACGGTCTCCTCGGACCCTTCCTTGCCACTTGTCGGGGTGACACAACAGCCAGTGACAGTTAAGAAAAGCATCGCCAAAGCTCGGACCCGGTTAAGTGACGCCATTTTTGCAGCGGTGGGTGCTCGGGACGACGGCTCTGCCATATCGATAACCAATGGCGATCAACCTCCTGAATGAAAAGGGCTTTTAAAAATCAGAGCCAGTCGGAGTCCGCCTTCATCTCCGCCGAGGGTTGCCGTGACTTGTGCATCGGGACCTGCTCGTTCCCACTACGTGTCCGACACTGATGACTCGCGAGCGCAGGCTTATGGGCCAACTCGTGCCTCCCCTGATGTCCCCGAGACAGGCGACGGCGGCGACCAATCAGTAGCGGCCGGTGGCCCGGGGGCGGGGCGTGCGCAGCCTCCTTGGCGAATCAAATTCCAAAACAAGTGCACCTCATGTTAAGAGACAGTCGAGACTCTGCTGACTTTTTTAAACACACATCCTTCTACAGGAGATAACATGATTGTACATGATTACAATGCACTTGTAAAAAAGATACATATCAATAAAGATAGACACAATAGCATGAGCTACAGTACAATATAATGCAGACATAATTATAATGTTGAGAGACTATTAGAGGCGTTCACTCAACTACATGGCATTATTATAATCTACATTAGGATTCAAATGAAGCACCATCATCTGTTGTGGATGCAAGTTACAAGGCAGTTAAACCAAGTTCTCCTTTTCAGATTGTTTTATTTGAATAATTTTAAGAGGCCTGTAGAAAGTATTCTGTATTTCATAAGAAAAAGCATATTTATAGAAAAGTTGTAAAAAATGATTTTTTTGTAGCAGAAATATATATTTTTTTATTTCCTCTTTTTTAATCCCTCAGATTTATCTTCGGACTCCATGGAGTGTCAGAACACAGTTATGAGCCAACAGTAATGGTGTGTATTCATCAGTGACGACTACAAAAGGCCCATTTCATATCTACTATGAAGACTTCTTCTTTGCTTAAAGGCACCTCATGCAATACTGGTGTAAAGAATCCACAATAATATATGTGCAAAAATTAATGGAATCAATATGTATTGTCCTATAACAGAAATGACAATAATTAACATAATACTGATATTAGTTTGAACACTTCTGCGAAGCTCATACTAATGCAAAACCTGTCGACGTATTGCCTAAACTAATCAATATAGTTTGATGTATTACAACATAAGCGGCCCAAAGGTGGGAAAGTCCTGATGAAGGTGTGAATGGCATACATATATGATTCAGATGTCAAAGACTGGAGGCAAATGGCTTCATAAGAAGAAGGCACCAACACTGTTCAACATTATGTACAGTTTTTGGATCTTACCTTCATACAAAGTAATTTTATTTATTTGTAAAATAAATTAAATGAACCTTTTTCAAGTTGGAGGATTGACAAGCAAGTATGCACAGAGCATCAAGAAGACACATGTTTATGTGCAAGTGATTTATTTCAATGCCATTGCATCATAAGGCATACTCTTAGTCAGTACACTTGAACATCTTTCATTATTCATATATAGCATGATGCTGGGCCTGTATCTCTCAGTGCTCTTCCCACCATCATTTGCAGCAGGTAGCAGACTTTGTGCTGCAGCACCCCCCTGTGGCTGCACCTGGACTTGGTTTCTCCAGCTGGAGGACCAGCTCAAAAGGATCCACAATGGCTTCCTGTGTGAGTTCAACAAGGTAGAAATCAGCAGGAGTCTACTACACACACTTCTATTCAAGTATTACATGCATAATAATTCCATGCAAGACAGTTTGTAAAGAACTTAAAAAAGTCAATTCTCACTTTTTATGATTTCTAGCACTACACACCCATTCACATGTTTCTATGTAAAGGCAGAGTAACAGTTGTTGTACGCCGAGCTTTCACATGCATGTTTACACTTGGTATCAGTGTCTTATGTATCACACACTGGTTGTTCATTAAATTAGCATTTCACAGTAGCTGTGCTTTCACAACGAGACCAAAGGCCTTTTATTACTATTATCACCAACTAGCCACGCTGATTAGAGAAAACTACCTCCGACACAATTTCACTTCAGAGGGGCAGTCCAAAGGCTGAACCCCTGGACCACCGAGATTCAAAAAACGAACATGGAAATCCTTCAATAGCAGAATAAAATGTCACGAGTGATACTAGGATCTGGGTAGTCATTGAAAAGCATATAGTACTGTTTGTAGATGTGTGTGTGTGTGTGTGTGCACAGGACGACCACAAGCGCTGATAAGATGGCATTCCACTCGCTGAGAAGAGAACATTTCTTCCTGTTCAAGGTTCCCCAGCATGACTCCACAGTCTGGTTATGACTCCAAGACAGCTGCTTGACCTTGTGCGCGTGGATGTGTGCGTACGTATGTTTGAGTGGGTATGTGAGTGTTTGTGTGTGTAAGATCTTGCAGCATGCGTCCTGGTGCACACATGCGTGTGTGACTGTGTGCACGGTTCAGACAGTGGGGCTCTCTGGGTGTGTCACACACACTTGAAACCAATACGACCAACACACTGACCTCTAGTGCTCAAAGCAAAATCACACAAAGACATTTCCCGGAATTTAAGTTGTGACACTGACCTTAAGTTTGGCTCCGCGGGGCTCACAGGGGCCTCCCGGTGGCTGAAAAGTGAAGTCTGCCTTAAATCTGGACTGGGTCAGGATGGCGGCCACCTCTCCGTCAACCTCCACCACGTCATCGACCTGTGAAACACACTCACGTCATTAGCAAACAAACAAAGTGCATGAGCTGAAGACATGGAGCTGTTCTTGTACGGTGGGATGTGCAGACCTTGAATGTGTATTGACGGTCAAACTGGAAGCTGTCCTCCACCCCTGTGATGCTCCCGTTATACATGACCCGACAGGGCTTGGTGTTGCCTTGAGGGACCTTGAACAGGCGGTATGTGGCCGATACGAACTTGAAGTCACCTGTATTGCAAGAACAGGTCAGAAAGAATCACGAAATGCATCAGTCAATCTCAACAATTTAGCTGATCCACAGCTCAGAAGGAAAAAGTCGGCGTGTAGTAACGACCTGACGCAGTAACACCTGCACAAACCTCAAAGGCCCTACACACCCGTGGTGCAGCCACACAGGTGTGTTCACTTATCGAGGCTAGTTGGACTTCTGTGTGAGCATGCACATTTTCGACAATAATCCAGAATCCAAAGGAAGAATCCCATTGGCTTTTTCAAGGGAACCAGTGTGATGCTAATGTACAGGTCTGGCCTACAGAGATACCTCATCCCCGCAGCACTCTATACACAAAAATAAATGATTAAAAACCAAAGAACAGAATAGTATCAAACCCAGAATGTCCTGCAGCTCGTTGTTGTCAACCGTGATGACGCTGGCTGTGACCAGCCGTGGTGGGCTGAAGCCCACTTCTTCAGCCAATAGCAGCAGATCTTTCCACCAGAGCGCTCCACCAACACACTCACCTGTCAAGAGGAGTTACACTGTGAAATTCTGGCATGCGTCTGTGAGCTTTTATGGCAGCAGGATATTAATTTGACGCACCCCACAGGACTTTGTGATTTTTAATTTCCTCTGTTAGTCTTCCACTGCTGTAGATGTCACTGAAGTACAGCTCACCTCCATCCTAAAGACCAACAGTCAAACCATGTATGTAGTGAATATCAAACTACGTAGACTAACAGGTTGAACGATTCTCAAACAATTATTGTTTTGCCTTTTGCCGCAGCATTGTCGGCATGTTTAATGAGTGTACCTTGAGCACGCTGTAGGCTTCAGCCAGAACTCTCTTCTTGTCTGGAGAGAGATTCACCACGCAGTTGGAACTGTGGCAGAAAATCAGCGTTTCAACTTAATTTCTTTAGAATTACAAAAGCATCAAATGACAAAACAAAGAGGGAGTGAATGACTTCGTACATGATGATATCAAATGAGCTCTTTTCCAAACCCACTTCTGTCAGGGCCTCAATGTAGCCCTGGACAAAACTAACGTTGGGCTTCTTGTAGCCAAACTCCTTCATGTGATAGTCCACATGTGTCCTGGCCACGTCCAGCTAGAAGAGAGCACACTGTCGCATTTAAAGCTGTATTTGCCGTATGAGTCTTAAGCAGTTCGTGCATACTGGGGAGCAGAACTTTGTCTATTATAAGAAAATGGCCATTTTTATTTTTCGGTATACATCATTGTCAGCTTGCTGTGGCCATGATGTGATGATAGTGTCCATTACCTGGTCCTCAGTCATGTCAATGCCAGTGACATGGCCCTTCTGGCCCACCAGCTGACTCAGCATGTAGCAGTCCCTTCCACTTCCACTGCCCAGGTCCAGTATCTTGCAGCCCTCCAAACACTCTGGCACCACCAGACCACAGCCATAGTACCTGAGGGGGAGAGCACACCCACTGTAAGCATCGGTGGATCAGGGATTGTTGCGCCTGTAAACACATCTGAAAGCAACAACTGAGAGTGGGGACAACAGTCCAGGGACCTGGCGGTGACTTCGGGGTGCACTTTCTTCAGAGCCTGGCGGATGAATGCAGGGACGGGTTTGGCCAGAGCCACGCAGGCATTGCTCTTCAGGTCCTCGGTTTTCTTCAGCACCTTGCCGTAATAATCCTGTTTGAGAGCAGAAGCGCTAGCTATGGTTGGTGCGCGTCGTAAAGCAGTTTGATATCAGTCAGCGGTGCAATAATTGACTCATAACAACACGTGCAAGCTGTACTTTGGTCGGTGAATCCACCTAAACAGCATTACTCAAGTTTTAATAAAAGTTGCCAGTGTTTTAGCTGACGTTAATTAAGGCATTGTAATTATGCTAGCGGCCACCCCGGCCCGTGCAGTGTAAACAGGTGGTGCACGTTCTACCTTGACATCCACGTGAACGGTGGTATCAACGAAGCCTCCTACGCACGCGCTTAAAAAAAAAAAAAAAAAAAGGTTTTATAGGTTAACGTCAATTTGCATGAAACGCTACGAGTTACTGTTAGCTAACTGCTAGCTGCTAACTGGCAGTGCTAGCAAATTAAAGGTTATAACTTTACTCCACAAGTTTACAGTTACACGGTCTAAATGTAACTTTAACGTTACTATAAAACAACCGTTACCGTCTCACTTAACGTTACAATTCATAATGCTAACGTTACATGAAAATACGATACGATAAAGGAGACACGAGGCATGTTTTGAGGTTTTTCTTACCGGTTGTCATCGGCCATTGCCCCGGAGACTGAAGTCCACAATTTGTGGAGGAAGGCTTTCGGCAATGGGTTGGCTTTTCTGCGCACAACTAATATTGCCTGTGTTCAGTTGACTTCCTTCTTTAGGGCACACCCTGTCCTTCATTGTCCGAAATCACAGCTGAACCCTGGTACCAAAGATACCGGATGTAACTGTGGTCAAAGATCATGTAATATGTTTTCATGAGAAGTAACTTCACTCAGTCTTGACAACAAATGAGTCAGCTTGAATTTAAAAGGGCATGTTTATTGAAAATACATCCAGCTTGGTTGTTGTGATAAATGGCTTGTAATCAGAACATGTGCAAAACCACCTTACAGACACCGGTGAAGAAAGAAAACGTGCCTTTAGTAACAACAAGAGAACACGTTATCTACTGTATTGTTAGTCAAACGTACCCTTCACACAACTTAAGTCGTTCAGAAGAAGAACAATCTTAAAAATAATACCCATAATGAGAAAAAAACATCTGTCCGTAGCAATAAAGCTAATGATTTCATAAAAATTATGAAAGCAACTATTTGGTTCACAAACATGTTACAGAATATTTTACACATTTTCAAATATAAAGTGGTTCTGAATTTTTTTTACAGTTCCAATATTTATTTTAAAGGATTCAGCAGATATGAAAAAATAGCTCGTCTTGGTACTACGTGTACCACAATCACACAATATCACTTTCTAGGTCACAAAAAAGCATTAACATATAAAGCACTTAAGAATGTGTTCAGGCATTCGTGGGTTAGATTCAATCATCTTAATGTAAATACAGAAAGTTTACGTTACAATTTAACTTGTGCTAGAAGCTTGGAGAGACATCTTCCGTTAGATTGTTTTAGGGTAGATAGAGAAATCTGTGAGACCAAAACATTTGTGCTTTGCAGACATTACAATGTGTGGACTTTTGAGAGTGCTCCAAAGAAATCTGACATTTGCATGATACAATGGCATGTAGCATGACCATATTCCAGTTAGTTTCAGGAGGATGGGAAAACTAAAATTTCACTCAATTTGTAAAAGTTGTATACTCATAATGTAATCAGTGGCATTGTCCATCGCACATTCATCAACAATCAACATCTAGTTTATTAAAGCTCCTGTAAGATTTGGATTAAACGGTTAGATTCAAAACAGAAGATACATGTACTAGAACTATGTGGTCTTTGTTTTCAATCCGCAGTGCAGTATTATAAATATTGCCTGTTAACTTGTACAGTCTGTCCATCATTAAATGATGATGTAAACTCCTGTTCATAAATATTCAGATATTAAGCATAACCAAAGACAACTATCAGACTGTTTTATAACTCTGCTTTTCTGTTATAGTTCATTTTTTTAATCAAAACTTTATTTTTCCAGTCAACAGGCCACAGCTGTTAATGACATTTTGTTGGCTACATTATGGGATGATTACCTTCATATGAAGTTGAGTAAGGGATGAATATACACACACACACACTAAACAAATATCTTAGGCTATTAGGAGCATTTCCTCTCAGATTGATTGGGATAGGGCCACACATTTGTAAAAATAAATAAAAAATGAACAAGCCAATTGACTGAAATCAGCGTTAATGTAATACAGGAAGCTCCTATATTTGTTTAATTAATGAATACCAAAACAAAAGCATGGTCAAATTGTGCTACTATGAAAATCCAAACAAAGCGCGTTATACTGTATAGCTGGTGAAGGTGGTAATCTATTGAAGTGGCTGTTGAGGTCTGACGTTGCCCATCGCAGGTGTAATCTCTATGAAGCCTTTTATTCTTGTTTTTGGTACCTGCTTTCTCGTGGTCTCCCAGTTTCACTGAAACGATTCATTGTTCTGCATTTTTTTGGGTAGGCACGTACTACAAACATTTATTAAATGAATGAAAAATGATTGTGTACAAAGTGAATCTGTTGCATTCCATACTGACAATCTACCGAGGTCCATTTCTTACAGATGTTGCAACAGAAGACACCGAGTCCTGGACTGCAATTTAAGACCGACTTAATGAAAGCATTTTCAATTTGTATTTATTTTAAGCTTAAAGCTTTATTTATAAAGATAAATACACTTTGTGCAAAATAGGAACTGCTCACATTACGATTTGTAAATGCACTTCTACTTCTCTATCACTAGCGGGGCAGATAGAGAGCAACAACAACAATACAAGGCAGAGCGGTGGTTAATGGCTGAAGAAGCACTTAAGAATTATGAGTCTTGTTCTTGTGTCCCCTGTGCAGTACCAGTTTGCATAAGGACACACTGTGGTAAATCCACATTGCACTCATCCAAAATGTTCCTGCCGTTTTGTTTTTTTTTACTACGTAGTTTTGTGCCTCCAGAGAACGGCTTTCCAGAATTGTTGCAAGCACCCGGTGAGGAGAGCAGTGAACGTCCTGTCCTGTCGTCACAGCTTCAGCTATCAAATCTTTCACTGTGTGTCAGTAGCTCAGTTGCAAGAGAGGGACAACTGAAGGACTCTGTGTGTGTGTGTGTGTGTGTGTGTGTGTGTGTGTGTGTGAGAGTGAGAGAGAGAGAGAGAGAGAGAGAGGTAAAGGGCTTGGACTGCCCAAACATAACCCAAAATACACAGGTTAAGGCCACCGTTCCAGTGTGTGGAGGAGGAGCGGGCTTTTCTCAAACTTTGGATCTCAGTCATACGAGTTGAGATTCCACTTCCTGCTCCAACACCTGTTTTATCTAAGATGCACACAGTCATAAAATACTCACTCAGAAAGTATTTAGACATAGAACACTTGCTCGGATACAAAAGCAGAGGCCTCCATGCTCCGTCTCAAGTGTTCTCCCCTTCCCTCTATGACACGAGTGCGCGTTGACGTCGTTTTCAGCCCTGTGGCTCAGTGCTGGTACTGTGGTGCAGCCCCTCTTGCTCGTTGATGGTGTGGAGGAGGAGGCACACTGGAGGGTGGAGCGAGGCGCTGCCTATCTGGTGAGCCGGCTGGGGAGGTCCTGAAGACCCACGTGCGACCCGCCTATCCGGCCCGCCCAGAACTTGCTCCTCCTCCACACCGAAGGAGGCTCGATTGCCGCAGCTGTCGCAGAAGTCGCCCACCTCCACCTCCTCCTCCTCCTCCTCCTCCTCCTCCTCCTCGTCCTCTCCCTCGCGCCCCAGCAGGCTCTCGAGCTCCCTCAACTCCTTGCCTTCCTGGCCTGTCCCTCCAGCTCCACTAAAACCGCTGCTCCCACGTGTGCTGCACACACACACCTCAATCCCAGAGTCTCCCGTGAATCGCCTCCTCCTTCCATTGGGGAGCCGATCTTTGTCCTCAGCAGAACCCTCTGACAGGTCCTTCAGCAGTGGGTCTTTGCAGGAGTCGTCCCCACTATCACTTCTTTTCTCCTGGCTGGTAAGTCCCTCCCTATTGTTGAGCCCATCTGACAGCAGTATCATGCCTGACTCTTGTGCTGTCTGCATGGGCTTGTTGTCAGGCTTTGGCCTCAAGTCTAAGGTGGGGGATTGTGGTTCCTCTGTGCTGGGTCTGCAACACAGAATGTCAGAGACCGGGGGCACGGGAGTGGACTGGATGGTTGGACAGTGTCCCTCCTGCTGCTCATGAGCCAGCGGGCTAGAAGCCACTGAGGACGGGCCAGTGTGTAAGGCACTGTAGGGCGGGGGAGGAGTCTGCGGCCGGTTGACCACCTCTTCGTAGTCAGGCAGGAGGTAGTTGGGCAGAAACCCTGAAGAGAAGAAAACCATACATTTGCAAATGCGCACAAAATGTAACTAAACAACTAAATACATTTTACAGGGCAAGCAAAACGTACATGGGTTAGATTTCCCTTCAAATAAACACCACCGCCTGACCCCAACACATTACAGTAAGACCTCACTGAACTTCCCAGACCACTATTCAAACATTCCCAAAGCAATAGGGGGAAAAATGTGACAAAACAAGCTAATTTCTGGGTCAATTCTGTGCTGAAGGCCGGTGCAGCACTGTGCGAGATGGTGTTGCAACACTGGCGAGGTACCAAGGGAGCAATGCAGGCCGTTTCCTGAAAACTGGGGCATGCAAACAGGGAAGGTTCTGACGCTGTGTGAAACCAGGGATACATGTCAGTGCAAACATTAGCCAAGGACCACTGCTTTGTTTGTCACTACCTTTAAATTCCTTAGTTTGATGGAACTAGAAAACTGCCGATTAGAAATTCTTGAAAAAGATTATTCCAGGGTCCAGCTCCAAGTTCTTTAGAGAAACAATGAAGGGAGCTACTGGACTACATCTTCACCTCTACATCGGACCCGTCACAGGAGGACTGCGAGTCATACACTGCAGCTGGGAGGACTAGTAATGAGGTCACGTAGGGAAAAATGTATACAAACTGATTTTATATACTGTGTGCACCAGTAAGACATTATGTTTGCTGGGTACCAAAAAATGCTTCGGCATGACAAAACTGTTTTCTTCACAAAGAAGATGATTAATGTTTGCAGTGACCATTTTTCCGCCCTAACATGTTTGGGGGAGAGAGGAGAAAGGCCATCAATGTGGATATAAACCTGATATTCTGACCAGGAGGTCTTATTTACTCACTCAAGCTGATTTGACAATGATAAGCGAACCTGCATGAGCAAATATAATGTCAACTTTTGAGAAAAATGGCACCCTGCTCAGTTCCTAGTTAATTAAAATCAAAACTATCAAATGTGTTAGTTATACTGATGGTATCCACACATTTATGTTCAGTGTATTAAATGAACTTGTGTCTGTAATTGCAAAGCTAACACTAGTTGTTGTGAATGTGGCGTTCACTGAGGAGAATTCATCTACTTTAAGTCAATTTCATTTTTCTTTTTGCCACTTGGGGGCAGCTACAAACACAACATTAGCATTTACTTGTTGTGTTTCTGTCCACCTGACAAAAGTTAGTCAGATATTCACTCAACTACTGAGAGAAACATCCGCTAAATGCTCCACCATCTTCACCAGAACGTTGCAGCTCGTTGCAGCCGACAACACAGTAGAGCAGTGAAACATCAAATTTGCGAGCCAAAAAACAAAACAAATAAGCTGAAAGACTCTAAATAACTGCAGAGTTACAGAGAGCTGAAGAGTCGGGCGATGATGCAATCCCTTTCACACTATATACTCATTGGTTCCACGGTAAATATGAGAATGTGGATTAGGGAAGCTTTACGTGCTCAGTGCTCATATCCGTTCAAAGTAATTGTCAGTCATCAATACAATTCATACGTCTGAAATGCATCCAACCCAAACAAAGTTCCACATCAGGTTTAATCATCATGGTGTGTGTGTGTGTGTGTCGGGGTGGTACAGCAGCTCTTACTGAAGTAGAAGGGCACAGCGGGGTAGTTGTGTGCTTCGCGGTAAGCGATGAGGTTGATCTCGTGCTGCCGTTGCTGCTGCTGCAGCCGGTGTTTGGTGCGGCGATGGTGACACACACAGCAGCAGCTCAAAATGAAGATGATCGCCCATACCAACCAAAACCCTGAGGTGAGAGGAAGATCAACACCGTCATGTTGTGTTTACAACTTAATCCATAATCTTTAACTGTACCAGCTGCTGGTGATGTGACACAAACACTGCTGATCAAATCCTGCCGACATCTGGTTCATGAAATGTATGGAATCACATCAATTCAATCATCGTCGAGAGGTCCAAGACCGCTCTCATCTCTACAACAAAGCACTGAGAGGTTTCTCTACGGAGCGACTCCATACATTTCACCACAGCCGTCTCACACGCTGATCTCCGAGGTGTCTGGTTTCTCACTTTGGGAGTCATTTGTAAATGTTTCTGAAATATTCTGCCCCAAACTTACAGGAAAATATATGATACGAAGAAATAATATAAGCCCTGAATGTCAAAATCTTGAGAGTAATGTAGTAATAAAATACAATTACAGAAATCCTATTTGTAGATGCACCGTGACAAAAACAACCCAGCACAAAGTGACTGTTTAAGAACAATCAAGTCCTTAGTTCTCTACAAACGCATTACTTTTGGAACTGTATTATCTAGAATCCTGTCCCAGCCGCAGCAAGGAGCAAAAATTGGCTTCAGTTTGTGTGTTTAAAATAAATGTCATGCCACTACGTCGACACAAATACAACTAGGGAACCTCACTTCAAGGACTACAGGGCAAGGCTACGCGTCTCTCTGTAGAATAAGAGTTTAAGCTTTACCGTGTGGCACTCAGTTCAGTGCATCTCTGCTGAGCGGTCACTAAGATATGCCAATTCAGCATTTTTTTCAAATACTTTCAGTTCAAGTAAATATTGGCCAATGCGTCGGCCTAGTTCTTATTCACCCTGGACTACAAAAACCTGTACGCCTACAGAAATAAAACAGAACACAAATTGGCCTAAATTATGATATAGGGAGTAAGAGTATGGTTTTAGATATCTTATCAGTGTTAAACAGAACATAACATAGCATACAGTAATAACAGCTCATACATTAACTTATATGCTAAATTCAGTTGGAATCCAGTTAGGAAAGCGACATTTTAGACACACGCATTCGATCAGACTCTGAAGGTAAGCGGTTATCCAGGCCACTTCCTTTTGGACCAATAAAAAGCAAAATCATCCTGAGACCGTAGCCGTCGAGTTTCCATATTGTATTTTGGCCAATGAGCTCCGCCTCTTGTGCTCTCAACACAAAGCCTGCTTGAACGGTTGTATCGGTCAATACTACTCGGAACACAAACAGAAACCAGATGACACGACTGCAGAATCGGTTTATAGAGACTAAACTGTCAAAGATCATATTCCATGAATGCCTCATGAAACAATTGATGCTACATTGTCACAGAGTTTTCAAGAAAACATTCCAAACACAACCTTCGTAAAGTAAGATATTTAATACTGAATTTACACATGTCCTTACAGTACAGCACGTCATGTTAACGTGTTCAAAAATCGGAATGAGGTACAGCTAATACATGACATTCAACAAGTTAAGAGCTGTAGATTGTTCTACCAAAATAAAATGTATTTTAGGTGTTTTTATAACTCAAGGTCACCGCCCACAGCTCAACTATTTGATGGTAGTCCAGACTTTGACTAAAAGTGTTTGTGATTATATTAAACATAAGGTTTATTTTAAACAACGTTTGAACCTCCTTGTGATGAAAGCATTCCCTAATCGAGGAAGCATGTGTGTATCTGATGTCCAGATGACCAGCTTGCAGCTCTGTAGCCCCAAACACATCACTGTCAGCTGGATCTGAAATAAATAGACAAATAAAACGACTTACAACTTCTTTAAAACAAAGGTTACATTATTTCAAACGCTGCTCATTTATGGGTGAATGTATTTTTCACCCACCTGGAGGTTGTACCCACTCTGCGCGCTGGGAAGAATGACATCCTGCACATAATTTGAGCGTCTGATATCACCATTTGGCCAACCCAAAAAAAAAAAAACTCTTCAGGTGACTCTTGACGGGATATTTGAGTCCAAAAGTTTATCTGAACTGAATCCAAGCCGGGGATGATCGGGTCACACCACCAGGCCTTTCCACAGCATGCCCCGGAATCTCAAGGAGTTGTACGACTTTCTTTCTTCACCATATTTAGTTGCAAGTGGTCACTCGGTATGTTTTGTGGGTCAGTAGTGCCCCGTTTGGGGATCTGTCTTTTGCTGTGCTGGCATGTCAGTCATGCCACAGTTGTGATGCACATTGTACCCGGGTCTCTCCTCCTGGACGAGGCTTAATGAAACCACGACACACTGACATGTAGCGTTGTACTCGTTGATTGTCTCTGAGAGGTCCCACTGATCTCCACATCTAATCTGTGACACAGGCCATCTGTCAGCAGCTGAAATAGTGGAGCCACTGCAGAGGAACTCGCATAACTTTAAAATTCTGTGTGATCCTTGAAACGTTTTGGGGAGCTTATGGGATCTGGTGTTGACGTTGATGAGCCTGGAGAAATGTGAGCCGCTTTATGATCCATCTTTTTCAGCTCTACATTCTTCTTTGTTCCTGAATTCACCTTCAGCACACAGTATCCCTGTCCTTCTCTTGTCCCACTACATTCTCAACTTAAACGGAAAAACCGTTGATTCTAAACTACACTCAATAGTTGTAATTGTAGATTGCAAGAACTGGAAACAGAAATAAAGTTATCAGAACAGTATTGTAGCTGCGTGGCTGCAAATGACGAGCACCCCGCTGCACGCGTTTCACCGGACGCTGAAACAAAATGTAAACGCGGTGATGACGGCTTTGTGTCTGCTTTGAGCCCGACATGGTGGTGTCGCACCTCCTTCAATAAAAAGTGCCCGTACTTTATTACTAAGAAGGTACTGATGAGCCTCAGGGCTTTAGAGGTTGTTCACTGAATCGCCATCAGTCGCTACAGAATGAATGTAGTAGATAAGAGGCCACTTGTTCAGGTCGTCCCATCTCTCGATAGCAGAGGGTGGAGGAGGTACAACGACATTATCGGTTGTGTTCCCACATTGTTCATTTTAAACTAGAATCACAGCGTTGCGGCTGTATGCCTCCGCCTACCAGTCACGTCACCGTTTTAATCCCCGTCATCACTTCATCCTGCACTGCAAGCGGACCTTTTGTGCCAAATTTGAATGAATCAGCTCAATGTGTGCATGAAAAGCAATGGAGTTAGATTGTAGCGTGCCGCTAAATATAGCAGACGCCTGTTGAGGGAACGTAATGACAGCACGTCGCTCAGGCTAGGAATAGTGTGAACACAGAGAGAAGGTAAGAAGTGGTGGCGGGATACTTACACCAGAGCTCATAGTAGTAGCTGCAGCACTGAGAATTGCCGCAGCAGTGTCCGGACTCACAGATGTAGCTCTGGTTGTTAACACCTTCACAGTGCAGGAGGCTCTGCAAGAGAGAAGCAGTCGTACCTTTAAACAGGGAAGTATTATCAACATCTCAGCTTAAAAAAAACACCCGAGGCGTCCGGTTACGGTGTGCAGCACCAATAAAATAAAAGAAACACAGCCCCCCCCACCGTTTCTCATGCTTGTTTTTGTGACTCACACCAGGGTGAAATTACACTTGTTCTGTGTTTTACTCTGATCAACAGGAACAAAGTCAAACCAAATCTGTGAATTGATCAACATGAAGTCCAACTAGTTCAAATGAGATCAGCAGTGTGTATTAAAGGAGGGATTTTAGGTTAAATACATTATATAAGAGGACATTACATCATGTCAGCCTCAGCTCAGTCAGGGGCTGAAAAACAAAGTGGTGAACTAAGAGATTAGATATTAGATAGGCATAAGATATGTTTTGGAGAGCTGCTAATCCTGTTCATGCAGCTACTGACACTCAAGAGGAGCACTGGAATCCCTGAGGCAGCGCACCTGTCTTGCGTTGGATGTCCCTCGAGATTAACGATGAAGTTTTGCTATTTTTTTTCTGATTCATAGTTTTAGTTATTTGTTCTGAATGTTACTGTTTAATTAATTATATTTGGTTTCTGTCATTTTTCTACTTCTATTTCTCTCTATTTTAGATCAAGATGCTTCGGTCTAGCTTTATTCATTTAGTATTCATGGTTTCCTATTAGAGCTGTTGACAAACGGTCGTCTTTAGAGCGCCACGCTCTCAGCAGCGTTGCAAACGCTGAAGTGTTACAACTGATGGGACTTTCTTGAATCATTTCTAGAGGAGCCGCCCCTTTCGCTTGCATTTTGTCACACAGTACAAAGAGCACAGGGGACTTTGACAATGTTTTTGTTCCATTTAAGTTCCCCAGTGAGACAGTGAGACAGGGAGAGAGTGAGAGTGAGAGAGTGAGACAGGGAGACAGTGAGAGAGGGAGACAGGGAGAGAGTGAGACAGGGAGACAGTGAGAGAGTGAGAGAGTGAGACAGTGAGAGAAAGAGACAGTGAGACAGTGAGAGAGTGAGACAGGGAGACAGTGAGAGAAAGAGACAGTGAGACAGGGAGAGAGTGAGAGAAAGAGACAGTGAGACAGTGAGAGAGTGAGAGAGTGAGACAGGGAGACAGTGAGAGAAAGAGACAGTGAGACAGGGAGACAGTGAGAGAGTGAGAGAGTGAGAGAGCATGCACAATACCTGGGCCCTGAAACTGGGAGTAACCCCTGAGTTTTCAAACGTGTCCGTCCTCGGGAGCGTTTCTAAACGTTTCTGTTTTCGTTGCTCCGACGCAGTGTGGACGCTCAGTTTAAACGTAGCAAAATAAACGCGTTTTAAAATGGAACCGTAGTAGTGTGGAGGTCTGAAGCAACTCCAATTATAAATCAGTATTTACACCCTCGCTTTTCCTACTGTGACATGTCAACATGTCTTCTGTGAAAAAGGCCCATTTCTAATCGAAATTGTCCCACTTTCATAAATAACTACACATTTCTAAATGGGGTTTTTAAGTGGTGTAGTGTACACACTGGAAAAATATATATGTTAATTTTCTTATATACTTATTACACAAAATAGTATATTATACAGATTACATGCCTAGCTCTGATCTTTGTTTTATAATAATGACAACACTACAGACAACATGTATACTTAGCTCTGGAGTAAACAAGTCCTCTTGAATTCCATCAGTGTTTAAGGCTCATATCAAGTGTGACTTTCTGAATCTCAGCCAGCACAAAACCCCTCAGTATGTTACCGCAGATCTGATATGCAATTTAAATTCAAAGTTTAGCCGGAGGCCTAATCACAACCATAAACCACCAGAAGGTGTTCGACTCAAACGTCCACTGGCATCCAAAATTAATTAAATCATCATTTGTCTCCGCTCCAACAATCCGTTACATGTTTCAGCTGTAAATATAACAAACTAGCAGTTGTCCCTGATTAAAATCTAACCCTCACTAATAGTATCCCATGAAAGGTTGCGTTGTGAGAGGACATGGGCGAGACGGTAATGTGAACAGATAGATCCGCATGCTGCCAAAACACAAGGCAGCACTGTAACCTAAATCCTTTCAAGAAAAAGCTCTGTGGGTTTTTCCAGCAAGATCCCTCAGATGTTGTCTTCTAGATTAGCTTAATGATTAGCTCGCCAAAGTTCTATAGAGCGGTAGCTTAGATTACCAGCGCAGGTCCCAGACCGTGAGGCATGATGATCCAGGGTCCACAAATCCCACAAACGTCCTTCAGAACTCATGGGTCATTATGCCACAAAAGAAGTCAAACAGCTCTCAAACATACTCTCACTCTCACTCTCTCCCTCCCTCCTCTCTCTCTCTCTCTCTCTGCCTCCCCCTCTCTCTGGCTCTGTCCCCCATACCACACACACACACACACACACACACACACACACACACACACACACACACACACACCTCACTCCACTCCAATCCAGCCCCAAACAGTGGACAAGGATTGCTCTACGGAAATTTCCAAGCAGCAGCGGAGGGCAAGTTCCTAGCTGGGCCGCCGCATGATAATAAGGCGCACAGAGCGGTGAGGTGTGTGTGGGTGTGTGTGTTAAGTGTGAGGCCCGGAGAGAACGGCAAGAAATGCACCGAGAAGGCCAGACAGAGCAGTTACACAGGAATGATTTGTCATACGCACCAGATCAGCACAAACTATATTACTGACATCTTTAAATGTGGACCGCAACCTCAAACAGGAGTCTCTTCTTAACAGCTGTTTCCTTATCAACAAGACATTAAAAACACACACACACACACACACACACACACACACACACACACACACACA